TATACAGTAGCTTATGCATCTACTGCATTGAACTATTCGTTATATCCATAATGTGACATTGTTAATTTAACTAGACTCCCTCGTGGTAAGACTTGTCCTGCTCAGAGGAGGGTGACTCGAATGTTGAGCTCCGAGGCCCTGGCAGCAACAGAGAGCTGGGCAGAGACTATATATGCTTCCTACTCTTGCACAAGAAAGGCGAGTCGTTGGACATCAATCTTGATGATAGGGACGACTGCAGCTGCATTGATGTAGTAGCGTATGGTTACGATACTTTGCTACGTCCTGTTGTCCGTACTAGACATGTACTGTGAAGTCTTGAACTCACTATGCAGGGATATGTACCAGATTAGAACGGTTTTTCGCCCCTAGTATGTGGTAGAAATCACTCTTGTAAACATATGGAAATCTCAACCTATGTATGACGATGAATCACAATTTCCTAATGTAACTTGAGCGTGGTATGATCCCTATCACAGGAGTCTTGTCTCCTCTCGACGATGTGCCTGTGATTTACTGAGCTCGAGTGATGGCATACATTGACGATTCAAAGCTTGTACGCTCATTACTACCATAATTGTATAACCTCTTATAAAACTTGGCCTTCTCGACGAAGTGACAGAGCTCGCCATGGTCTTAGCGGGTTCGGTCTAAAACTTTATCAGGTTAGCGCGACATAGGTCCCCGGTTCGAATCCCAGGCTCGATAATCTTCATGCGAAAAACGATTTTCGTGTATACTGTCACCAAATCGAGATTTTCATATTTTTAGAGGTGTAGTCGTCGTCCACTCAGCTCGCGATTGCTACTTTCACCGTGTTAACACTCTCTCTGGGCGTTGAGAAATATTTCTTATGCACGCACACTCGAAATGATCCGAATCGCACCATAGCTCCGTAATTATGAACATTGACTGCCGGGTGGGTTGATTGAACTCTGATGGCTTCGTATCGGACTAAGGTCCATGCCGGAAATAGAATCTTCGATGAATAATCCGATCTCTGTTTCTCCGTCATCTTGCTGAGTATCGAGATTGGATACCTCAGGTGCCCTCAGAGACTATTGGTTATGTTACTGGTCGGGAGAGATCCACTATGAATCGTATGGAAGAAGACA